CTCTGGATATTTAGAGGGTAGATGTCAGAACCGAGAGACAACAGCTCCCACATTAGCGGGCCGTTCGAGGAGGCCCATCAGTCGGGGAGTTGCCACTGGGGCGGTTCGCGCAGGGGCGGGGGGCGAGGCCGGTCAGGTCTGTGCTGTCCTCACAGATGGCCAAGGTCCCCTGCACCACGGTGTCTGCAGCACATGGCTGAACAGCCTGAAGCCCCAAGACGCAGTGCCCTGTTTTGTACGAAGGTAAGCACCCGCTCGACTCTGTCTGTTGTGGGACCACTGGCTCTGGGGGTTTGGGGCTGAAATGGAAGGACCTAGGGTTTAGGAACCAGTCTGGACCCCTTGGCCCGTAAAGAAGGCACTTGGGGCCACGCTGGGCTGTCTGTTCTACCTCCTGGCTGTAGAACATGGCCGAGTCTATAGCGGGGATGGAGGTGGCAGGCAGTGGCGATGGGGCCCGGAGTGTGATGAGGCTCAGCCTCCTTCAAAAGGACTCCAGCACAAGGTGCTGGTGTGTCTGGTCAGGGGAAACGAGGCAGCTTGTGGACTTGGAATCAAATTCGAGCTCACTGTCCTCTCCATGCCGGCCAACACCACCACGCCCAACCACACCCCCAGCGCCTCAGCCCCTGGCCTGCGTGTGCATCCGGCCCATGGTGTCTGAGGACTAGGGCCTCTCTTTCTGTCCCCTTCAGTGCCAGCGGCTTCCAGCTCCCCGAGGACCCCTCCCATCCTTGCATCCTCATTGGGCCTGGCACGGGCATCGCTCCCTTCCGCGGTTTCTGGCAGCAGCGGCTTTATGACGTTGAAAACAAAGGTACTGCTGAGGGGCCCCCAGGGGTAGCGGGGGGGCCCCAGGTGCCTGGGAATAGAACTGAGTGCAGGATAGCTGTGCCACTGTCCACCCACGGTTCCTGGCCCCTATCCCAGGTCTGCCTCAGCCTGTGTGGGCAAGTGATCTGAATGCCCTGGCCCCTCAGCTTCCTCATCTATAAAGTGAGGAAATTACTAGACAGGATCCTTGTGGAGATGCAGTGAGAATTCAAGTTGGGTCCCAGCTTGTCAGGCCTTGACGCCTGCCCTCTGGTGCCCACCCTGGTAACTGCAGCCTTCTGGATCTTCCAGGGCTCCGGAGTGGCCGCATGACCCTGGTGTTCGGGTGCCGGTGCCCCGACGAGGACCACCTCTATCGGGAGGAGATGTCAGAGATGGCCCAGAAGGGGGTGCTGCATGAGGTGCACACGGCCTACTCTCGCCTGCCTGGCCAACCCAAGGTAATGTGGCGCTGCCCGCGCCGAGAGGAGCATTAAAAGCGCAGACTGTGCTATGATGGGTGTCCTGGAACTGCACACGCCCCTTACGTCTCTGAACCTCCATCTCCTCGGCTCTAAAATGTAGGCAGGTATACGGTCAGAATGATGCTGCGAAGCTATTCGGTTCACGCTTCCAGGAGGAGAGATGGGCCCTGAGGCGTTCAGGACCAAGCCAGTGCCACATAGTGGGTTAGTAGAGGACCCCAGAGCCCACCCTGCTGAACGCCCTCCCCACCTGGGACACACAACTGCCCAGGGAGAGGTTGTAGGCTGACTTTAGCTCAACCACAGCAAGGCTGGAGGGCGTCCGCCGCTCCCACCGGGAGACCACTGATGGGCTCTGCTGCTCCAGGACACTTTGCCCCGTGAGCCCGGGGAGTCAGGACAGACTCTGGGCCCCTCCCTTATGAACGCATCCTATCAGGGCTCCTCCCAGAGCCAGGGCTCCATGCCCAGGGCTGGGGTCACTGGGAGCCCCCGTTGACTCCTGGACGTCTGTGTCACGGGAGAGCCCAGGGCTCTGTGTCCTGCTCTGCTTTACAGCGCAGGCCGCATCGGCAGCCCGCATGGCGAGAATCCCTCTTCCGGGGAGCAGGCAGGTGAGCCTCAGAGCCCTGGGCAGGGCAAGTGGCTTGGCTGACGCCTCTCTGAAGCGTGCTGAATCCAGAGTGCGCCCAGGAGCGCCACTGGACCGTCAGCTCCTCGAGGGCAGGGCTGTGGCCAGCGTTCATCTCTCCAGCCTAAGCCTGGGCTGGGCAGGGCACCAGGGCATGTCCTCATGCTGAGCCTGGTCCCTGTGCAAAGTCCTGGCAGGGAGGGTGGTCACCCTGCTGCCCATCTCACCCCCAGGCCGCCTCCCCGGGGCCAGCAGGCCTCCCCGCGGCTTTGTCCCCTCCCCCCAGCAGCAGGGGCCCGGACTCACCATCTCCTCTGGTTTCAGGTCTACGTCCAAGACATCCTTCAGCAGCAGCTGGCCGGTGAGGTGCTCCACGTGCTCCACAAGGAGCAGGGCCACCTCTATGTCTGCGGGGACGTGCGCATGGCCCGGGATGTGGCCCACGCACTGAAGCAGCTGGTGGCTGCCAAGCTGAACCTGAGTGAGGAGCAGGTCGAGGACTATTTCTTCCAGCTTAAGGTATGGCAGCTGGTGTGAGGGCTAGGGATGCAGGGCAAGGGCACGGGCCAGGCAGCCAGGACGAGGGGAGTCAGAACTGGGGAAGTCCTGGATGCCAGGGGATCCCACAGATGGCTGCAGGTCAGAGCCGGATGGGCTGTTGGAGGCTTGACTGTGCCTCCTGCTCTGGTTGCTCAGTTAAGCAAAGACAAACATGTCGCTTTACCAGAGGACTTTCAGAGCCTCTAACATGGTCCTGGGGCATCGTGATGCTTCAAAACTGGGAGAAAGTATATCATATTCAGCAAACGTATTTATCATAGAGCCCATATTTCCAGGAGCATCATGGGGGATAAGCACTAGGCGGGTGATTCAGTCCATCATAAAGCCCGGAAAGATGTTTAGGTGGTCCTTGGCAGAGCAGGCAGCGGTGGGAGTTATGGCGCCTAAGTCAGAATCAAGTGTGACCGAAGCATGGCAGTCGGGAGGGCAACGGGTCAGGAGTGTACGAGTGGTAGGGAAGCTGGGTGAGCGCAGGGAGCTCGTTCCAGCCTGAACCTGATGGATGAGAGGTGGCTGGACCCGCAGAACTGACATATTGATTTCTGTTTTCCCTTAAAGAACCAGAAGCGCTATCATGAAGATATCTTCAGTGCTGTATTTCCCTACAAGGTGAAACAGGATGGGGCAGCAGGGAAGCCTAGTGATCCCAGGGCTCCAACAGCCCACGGAAGTTAAAGCTGCCACTGCTGAATCCTACAACAGACCCAGTTCTCGATGATCTGTGGTCACAGGGATACAGGTGGTGGGAAATTATATTCCCAAGCCTCACATCCTATTTCTCCATCTCCTTCCCCCTTTGCTTAACTTGCTACCAAGTAGCAGCCTGAACTGAATGGAACCTCGTCTCCTATGAGCTCACCCTTCCCCGGATAACGGAACACTGGGGCATTGGAGAGTAAATCTACAATGGCAGGCCTGGCTAGTGGGTGAGGATGAATCTTTCTTCTGATTGCACTACTGTGAGTGACCACGAGGAGGCGCTGTTTCACCACTCTGTATTTAGCCCCACCCTTCTCCCAGTGTACAGTTATTTATGCCTTTGTATTAAAAAAATAAATAAGTAAACAAACCAGTCATCCCCTGAAGGCCATTTAGGCCTTCCTTGTATGGCTCCTTGATGGAGATGTTTATATGAAATACATTTTATTTTAACCACATTGTATGTGCGCATGTGTGTGTGTCACAAGTAAAGCAGCCCTCAGTTACACTGAGTTGGGCACTGGCAGGTGGCCCAGCTTGGCCACGCAGCGTCTCTGGAATGGGTGTGAGAGCTGCACATGGGGTGCATACCTGGATACCCGTGATGGGCGAGGGAGCACAGGCCTCAGCGGAGCCTCACACAACACGCACCTCATGCCGGGGACAGCAGAGGTGCGACACTGTACAGGATGCCCCCTCTTTAATGAAGACATGGGCACGGCCTATCTTCAAAGTCACTGTATTTTGCTCCAGGGTCTGCTGCTTCATGACAGTTTGGCCAGTAAAGATTTGGCACCTGATGAGGTCGGGCTACAGGTCAAGGACTTGGCCGAGAGTGAGGGACACATGCCTTCCATGAGGAAGGCTTCTTAAGGGACCGAGCCATGTTTCCTCCTCCCAGTGGGAACAGGGAAGGAACTCAGCCAGGGGCGAAGTGAGGATCTGGTAAAATCTGGATCCCAGCTTGGGTTTGGCCTCTGTTTCATTGGCTCCCTGGCAACCTCCTCAGATGGGGGGTGCGGGGAGAGGGGGCACACCAACCGGCAGTGTCCCAGCGGTGCCTCTGAAAAAACGGTGATCAACCACACAGACCCCTAGCTCCATGCCTGCCGCACGCTAATCTGCGTACTAACCACCTGGGATCTCGCTCCGATTCAGGTCTGGGGCGCAGCCTGAGATTCTGCGTTTTAAACAAGCTCCCAGAGGCTGTAGCTACTGTTGGCTCAAGGACTTCACTTTGAGCCCTTGCCCTGGTTCCCGAGGCCCTGGATTCTTGAAGGAGGTAGCAGGGTGTGTTGGCATCAGGTGGACACAGGCCTAGGTCCCGTGCACTGGCCCAGTGGCTGGCAGACCGCTCCACACTGAGCCACTTTCCCAGCACCCCCCTAACCCCTAACACAGAAGGACCCACAGTGGAACAATGCAAACAAGCTCTCTTCTGGGTCAACTCCTCCTGACCCCACCTGCCACCTCCTCCCACTGATACACCTGCCCTGCCATTGGGCTTCCTGGCCCTGCAGTGGCCCTCACAGGCTCCAGCCCAGCCCTTGGCCCACCTCAGAAGCATGGGGCTGCTTCCTGGCTTCAACTCTGTTCCCAATCTTCCTGTCAGATGATCTTGTCCGAAAAGCTTGAGTCCAGGTGCTTTCTCTCACTCCCTTGTGGGGATTTGTGAGATCCACTGAGAGCAGAAATGGATCAGGACCCCCACATCAAAGTGTGCCTGTGCTCTCTCCTAGGCCAGGACCTCCCCAGTTCCAGAACCCAGGTGTCTCCAAACACATTTCACAAACCACAGCCATCCGTGCATGTGTGCCAAGGCAGATATTTCTTTCCCACTTTATTTGAAGGACACTGGGAAAGGGAAGAGCTTCCAGCTGAAGAAGGTCCTGTCTCTTGGCAGAGACCAGCAGGTGTCAATCAGGGTCACTTTCCTGGTGTAGGGGAAGGGTTGGTCATGGTATAAGGAAAGGTTAAAGGTCGGAGAAAGAGGAGGAGCTGAGGAGAACACCTCCTATGTGAGTCACCCGCTAGTGGCTTGAGCCTGAGGTGGACTGGAAAGGAGGGTGGCAGTGGGGTCAAAGCAGACGAGGAGTAGGCCCGTGCTGGCAGCTGGGGAAGGTCCAGGAAGCACCCTCCCCTTCTGCCGAGGGGACAGAACCTGGAGCTTCAACCTGCAGACTGCCCCTCTCCTCAGGTGTCAGGATGTGGGCAGCTGGAGCCCCGGGTGCCGCCCAGGCTGAGGAAGGCAGTCCCGGCCGGCGGGCTTCTCCCCTCCAGGGTGGCTGCAGCCAGAAGCAGGGAAGGCAAGGACCTGGCTCCTCAGATCCTTGGCTGGCTGGGAGGGGCGGAGACTGGGCAGGGACAGGGAAGGCGGAGGTGATAGGCAGATCTGGAGAGCAGACTCGCAAACATCGAAATCCCACCTAGGTCTGCACGTGAGTCAGCTGGATGTCGCCTCCCACTTCCAGGTTGTTGATGGCGGGCAGGTTATTCACGCGGTGGTAGTAGTCAAACAGGTGCTGGCCGTTCACGGCCACCTTCAGGCAATGATTTTCACACATGATCCACACCTGGGTAGACAGACCGACTGCGTCATTTGCACTCCGCTTGGAAAGTTGTCACCCCTAAATGCAGGCCTGGGTCTCCCTCCCTCCTTCCTGCCTTGCTCTAACGTGACGTAGCACGCCCCACGCCCACATCCTCGGCACAGGAAGGACTCACTCTTCACAAATGTGCTCTCTTTCCTTTCCTTTTACACATTTTGTTCCCCTGGCATAGAAAGCCCTTCCCCGGCCCCCACCGCACACCTCGCCCACACGGATAGTTGCTGGTGCCCCTGAGGATGCACCCCTCTCCAGCCAGGCTTCCCGGCCTTCTGCCACCGCCTGACTCCTCATACTCAGGTCAGGTGCCCCCTCAGGTCGGGCCCCCCACCCCCATCCTCACTCTCCAACTGGGCCCTGTGCCTCCAGCGGCAGGAGCCACGGCTTATGCCACCCACAGCCCTATCCCCCGGCACCCAGGGGCGCTCCACGCCTGCACTCCTGCGGCGGCCGCCCCCTGGCTTGTCCCTTTTACCCCCAATAGTCTCCACAAGGCGGTCAGAGCACATCTGGTAAAATGCTATCATCCCCCTCGCAGCCCCTAACACTTGCAGCACGCTCGCTGGGGAGGAGGCACTGTCCTAAGCATGTCACGAGCACAGTGCTGTTTCATTCTTACTTCTCTATGAGACCAGTATTGTCATTAGCCTCATTTTTGAGATGGAAATACTGTGGCTCAGAGCAGTGAAGTCACTTGCTCAAAGTCGCACAGCTTATCTGTAAATGGATGTATATTGCTCTCTGGCTCGAAACACACCAACACACTGGATCACAATGCAGACTCCTTTCCGTGGCCCTAAGGCCCTACATTGGTCATTTTCAGCCCTGGCTGAGGAGCATTAGGGCCTATTTAAAGGGCCAGGCTCATGCCGTTGGTGGTGGGGAGTGGGCCAGGCATGGAGTTTTCTTTCTTAAGCTCTGTGGGTGGTTTGAACCTGTAATCAGGGCTGAGAACCCCCTGCTCTGAGATCTGGGCCTCCAGCCTCCCCACCCATCCGGTTCCTGGATGCGCCATGCCTGTGATCCCCACCCTTGGAGCAGCAGCTGCTCCCTCCAACGTCTCTGGGGCTGCACCCCTCAGATTTCATGGGGCGGCTCCTTCAATCACTGAGGCCTCCCCTGCACTGTGGTCCCTGAGAGCTGTCCCCACCTCACGCCGCGTAGCCCCTGCCTAGGCCTCACTCTACCAGCGATGTCCAGACTTTTGGTGTCTCTGGGTCACACTGGAAGAAGAAGAGTTGTCTTAGGCCATACATTTTGACCCAAGGATCACACACCGAGACACATCATAATGAAGTTACCCAAGATTACAGGTAAGGGGAGAATCTTAAAAGCAGCAAGAGAAAAGGAGACAGTTACCTACAAAGGAGTTCCCATAAGACTGTCAGCTGATTTCTCAAAAGAAACCTTGCAGGTAAGAAGGGGCTGGAAAGAAGTATTCAAAGTCATGAAAGCCAAGGACCTACATCCAAGATGACTCTACCCAGCAAAGCTCTCACTTAGAATGGAAGGGCAGATAAAGTGCTTCCCAGGTCAGGTCAAGTTAAAGGAGTTCATCATCACCAAGCCCTTATTGTCTGAAATGTTAGAAGGACTTACCTAAGAAAAAGAAGAAGATCAAAACTATCAACAGTAAAATGACAACAAACTCACAAATATCAACAACTGAACGTAAAAACAAACACAAAAACAGCATAAGCAAACTACTAGAACAGGAACAGAATCACAGAAAGGGAGATCACATGGAGGGTTATCAGTGGTGAGCGGGTGGGAGGAAAAGGGGGGAAAAGGTGCAGGGAATTAGAAGCATAAATAGTAGGTACAAAATAGACAGGGGGAGGTTAAGACTAGTATAAGATATGGAGAAGCCAAAGAACTGATGTGCAGGACCATGGGCGTGAACTAAGTGGGGGGAATGCTGGGGGGAGGGGGGTGCAGGGCAGAGAGAATAAAGGGGGGCAAAAACGGGACACCTGTAATAGCATAATCGATAAAATATACTTTAAGAACAAAATTATTTTTAAAAAGCATTATTGGTAGGCACAAAATAGACAAGGGGAGGTTAAGAATAGTATAGGAAATGGAGAAGCCAAAGAACTTAAATGTATGACCCATGGACATGAACCAAGGTGGGCAATGCTGGGGGCAGGGGGGGCAGGACAGAGGGGCACAAAGGGGAGGGAAAAATGCGACACCTGTAATAGCATAACCAATAAAACATACTTAAAAAATAAATATATTGCGATGTGTAATCACACACACACACACACACACACACACACAAATCTCACGATGTTTTAAGTAAATCGATGGTTTCGCGTGGGGGGCATTCACAGCCATCCTGGGCTGCACGCGGCCCGCGGGCCGCCTGGGGGACACCCTGCTCCACATTACGCTCCTTTGCTTTCAGCGCAGCACCTGCTGTGACCTGCACTGATTCTCTGCTGCCTGAACTGCAAACTTCGGGGCAGGACCTGGTCTGCCTGCTTCATGGCTGCCTTCCCCGACCGCCAGCACCTGGACCGCTTCCTGCACGAAGTGGGCCTTGACCATACGGCTGAGAAGCAATTGTTGAATGAATGAGTGAATGAACGAATAAACGAACAACACCTCATTCTTGGGCTCCATCGGGCACTTACTGGCTGTCACCTCAGGCGAGGAGCCTGCACTTGAGTTTTTCCCTATCTGTAAACAGCAGATACCACCACCTATTTATGTGGGACAATAATTGTAAAGCCGCAAGAACAAATATTTGTTGAACACGTTCTCTTCTTCTGGGCTCAGCCCTCACACCAGAGGCCTCGGGGCCCATCTGGTACCCGGGGTAGCAGACCCCCGCCCCCCGCTTTCCTTGCCCCTCAGAGCCCGCCGAGCCCCAGGCTGTGGCACCTTACCAAGAAGCTCTGGCCTCTGGAGAAGGGCATTGTTTGGGGCAGGCTGCGCTCCTCAGGCCCCCAAGAGCCCTTGACCTGCGTGTTTCGGACCACGGCGTTCTCATTGAAACGGGGATTCAGGTGAAAGGCGATGTCATTCCCAGAGCGCAGGTTGATGTGGAACCTGGGGGAGGGCGGCTCACATGGGTCTCCTTTGCCCGCCGAACTCGGGCCCCTGCCCCTCCCCAGCCTGCCCGGGGCCAGGGGGGAGGCCAGAATGGCCTTGGGGTATCTCTCCTCTGCAGGAGCCCAGGCTTACCTCTGAGCGCTGGGCAGGACCATGCCTGACACGGTGATGCTCTTGGAGGGGTACAGCCCACCAGGGATGGAGGTGAAGTAAGGTATCGGCTGTTGTGGGGAGAGGGACAGGTCAGCCAGCGGCAGCCAGAGCAGCGACCATTGTAGGGGGAACTTCCTGCCGATTTCCATGAGTTCAGACTGCCCACTGAGTTTAAAACTGTGCCTGTGAGTCATATCTTTAATAAATGCCACAGGAAAACTCTCCAGTGTTCCTCAAATTAATGGGCTCAGACTGTCATGAAAGGACGTTGGCCGGACACAAAGGATACTGGGGCTGAGGAGGGAAGGCCATGCAATATGCTCACCGTGAGGGGACAATTTTAAAGGAGAAAGCTCCTTTCAACGTCTTCTAATTTACTCGGACGTGGGACTTCAGCTTGCCAAAGGGCTCCTTTTGATTTTGTAAGCCGCCCCTCACCTCCCACACTGCCCCCACACACCAAACCTCCTCCCTCCCTGGGAAATCACTTACATAGGTGGGGCCGCTCTGCATCACAGGTGGGATTACAGGGTTCTGTTGAAGAGACCAGAAAACGCAGTGTGGGGTTGCGCCCACACGCAGGCCCCCCACACTCTGAGGCGGTGCTCCGCAGGAGGCATCAGCCCCTGGACCCTCCCGTTCACCTCCCCTCTCCTGACGGCCTGGGCGCACTTCTGCCATAGTCCCCGACCCCATCGCGGGCCACCTGCCCTCAGCTGTCCACAGGCAGCTCTGCTGCCTCCGGGGCTCCCACCTGACTTCTACCAGCAGGGGGAAGGGAAGCAGCGGCTTAAGTCTGGGACCAGCAGTGACATCCAGGGACCCGAGGAGGCCAGGCCTCAGATCCAGACCCTGGGCCCGCTGCACTCCCCTCTCGGTAACAGAAGGACCAGTTGTCCTGCTGTCCCTGGGGGTCCTGCCTCCTGGGCCTCGAGGTAAAGCCAGACTGAGCCAGAATTTCTGCCATCCCTGGGTGAGCTTGACTTGCATGTCTCCTGAGCAGAGGGCCAGCCCCAAATCCCCCAGCCTCCCTGTTAAACTGCTTCCGCCTCTTCTCTGGGATTAGAGAATTCAGTCCTTGGTGAAGGGGGACATCACAGGGGCTGTGAGCTGACTAGAGCTTTCGGACTTACAGAGAACATTTGTCCAGGGGCGCTCTGCACCGTGTGGATGACCGTTTGAGTCTGGAAGAAAGAGGTAAGAGTTTTAACTCATTCTCAACAGCATGATCGCCACCACCTGCCACCAGAGGACACCATTTCACACACTTTGGGAGGTGCCTCTGAGCTACTAACTAGCTCAACGGCCCTGACAAGACTCCCGGAATTGGAGGATAGAGAGGTGTTTCTCCCCTCAAGAGGATGAGGTAGGGGCAAAAGATTCTCATGAAGAAGAAATATGGATTCATTTGTGGCCTGTAGGCCCATTTTTCTTCGCAGAGGAATTTCATAGCTTCACTTCTCAGGAGGAAGAAGTAAATGTGGGGTGTCTGCCTCCTGTGGCTGCCCACAGAATGGCAGGGGCCTGGGCGCTTCAGCTCGTCTCCCTGTTCATCGGGCCAGCCGGTCACCCCTGACCCCAGGCCCTCCCACCACCACCACCGCAGTCAGACGGTCAGGGGGCTGGCACCAGCTGCCCCTTGTCCTGTGGTAGAGGCCTAACGCCTCGCCTGGCCTCCTCCTTTTAACCCACGGGAAGAACCAAAATGAAGATGTTCCGAAGAGAGAAAACACTCACCATGGGAGCGGTGGTGGCCTTCCAGAAGCCTGAGGGCTGACGGGGACGAGATAATCAAAATGAGGGTTAACATCAGTGCCACACGAGGCTGAGACAACGGCAGAAACTGGTAAACATGCCTCCCCAGACTCTCGCTCGCTTCCTTCCTGCTCCCGAAAAGCCTCCCTGAGCCTGAGGTCAGGCCAGGCCTGGAGGAGAGGGAGCATCCCCATTGGCTCCTTCAGAGAGAGAGCATAAGGGTCTGGCGTACGCCCACAACACGGAGCTTCCCTTAGCTCCCAGAGGCAAAACAATCTATTCCTTCCAGTGTGCTATTTCATCCAGAAGTTGAAAAGTAGCGTTTACCCAGGACTGCCGTGTGCCAAGCCCCCGCTGCTACGGTTTATGAGGGAGGCACCCTTAGCTGCTCTTTGGCTAAGTGAGACAGCCAGGCTCAGACAGGTTAAGCAACTTGCCCAAGCCTGTCAGATCACCAGCCATAAAACACACAGTGGTCCCCAGCTGTGTCTGATTGTATCCAGCGTACTGTCCTCCCCGGGCAAGGCGAGGCTTTCCGGCAAGGCGTCCTGGAGTTTGACCAGTCCAGAAGTCATTGTGGCTGGTGGCAGGTGCTCTACCTGCACTGTGATTGGCCACAAGAGGGCTGGGTAGAGAGGCCCCCCTTGCCCTTTGTCCCCACTGCTTAAGTGGCCAAAGGAAGGGCCAGGCATTTCTCCCCTTTCCTGTCCTGGATCCTCTCCCCACCCAGCACACTGTCCTTGTGCTCCCTGCTGTCCTCTTCTAGTGGCTCTGCAATCTACCATCCTCATCCGATTATCAAGTCCCTACTGCATTCCAGGCACTGTGCATAGGGCTGGGGCTACACAAAGGGACAAGTCACAGTTCCAACCTCATGGGTGTGGGAAAAGAGGAGGTGGGGTGACGGGGACACACATGTAAATGCAGTTACAACAGGACCTGGTGACTGGCATGGCGCAGAGCTGTACAAAGTTCATGGGGATGGGAGGTGGAGGGGCATCCAGCCATTTACCCCGCAGGGAAGATGGCCCTGAGCTAACACTGAAGCAGAGCATTAAAGGGCAGTTACTGGTTGGCTGGCAGTGAGGTGGCAACGGGACAGCAGATGCAAAAGCGTGGTGGCTGGAGACAGCCCGGAGCGAGCCACAGAGGCGCATGAGCTCAGCACGTGGGGTGCCCGCCAGGAGGTGGGCGGGCACTGCTGGGGAGGATTCTCCACATCCCGCTGGGGACTTCGAGCTCTATTGAGAAGGGCTTGGGGCCTTCAGGATTTTTAACAGGGAGAAGATGTGATGGAATTTGCTTGTAGGAAGGTCAGTGTGGCAGCGGGTGGGTGTGAGGGGCCAGGTGGCCAGGACCAAGGCACTGGTTTCCGGAAGGGGAGTGTTGGTACACTGAGGAGAGATTGAGGAAGGGAGGGAAGAACCAAGGATGACACCCAGGTCCCGGCTCTGGGTGCTTGGTGGATGGAGACAGGGAAGCTTGGGTGGGCACTACCGGGCCTGAGTTCCTGGCCGGCCTGCTGGCTGGAACTCGCCTCTCTCAGACCCTCTGTCCTTCCTGCTGGCTGCTCTGCCCTCCAGGTTCTCAGGTGTAACTCACTTTTGGTTTGCGCCCCTTGGGCGTGGATGGGAAACAAGTTGTCTGGGGAAAGTGCATCGCGGAGAAGCCAGGCTGGATAAGGATTGTACGGATATTCTGTTAAAACAAAAGGTGCCGAGGCATGAAAAGAAGCTTTAACGGAGCCAAGGAAGAGTGGAAAGGCAGGGGCGGGGACAAGAGGGCAAAGCCAGGCCAGCGGGGAGACAGCAGGGCGAGAGCAGGGGAGGGCGGGAACGGGAGGGATGAGGGCCAGAGAGAGAGGAGCTCCTTCCTATTTGTTGAGGGCCTAGCGTGTGCCCTCCTCATCGCCGGGAATGTGCTCACGTCCAGAGAACGGTGACAAGGGTGGCAATGCAGCCGCCTGGGCCCTGCGGGAACACCAGCCCCTACAGGCCCAACCTTCCCAGTCTTCACAGACACTCAGATTTCCATGGGTCACCCACCAGGCCATTATAATTTGGGGGGGGTAAATACACAGAAAATTGGCCACCTTAACCAGCGTTCAGTTACAGTCGAGTGGCACTGAGTACATTAACACTGTTGGGCAGCTGTCACGACCAAGCAGCTCCAGAGGGCAAAGTCCTCCTGACCTTTCAGATGCTGGCAACACTTTCCAAAGTTTTAAAACACAGAGAGGGTCAAACAGACCCTGGTGTGGGCCCCTGTGGGTCATTTCCTTTTTAAGGTTTTATTTATTTATTTTTAGAAAGAGGGGAAAGGAGGGAGAAAGGAAGGGAGAGAAAAATCAATATGAGGGAGAAACATCCATCAGTCACCTCTCATACACGCCCTGACTGGGTATGGAACCCACATGCCAGGCATGTGCCCTGACCAGGAATTGAACCCCCGACTCCTCGCCTTGAGGGATGCTGCCCAACCCACAGAAGCACACCGGTCATGGCCCACGTGGGCTGTTTTGTGACATCTGACAGGTATCTCCTCAATGACCTCACACAATAGCCCACGGGGCTGCACTGACTATCCCTTTTCCACAGATGAGGAGACTGAGGTTGGGAGAGGCAAAGTCACTTGTCTAAGATCCCACAGCTGGTGACAATGGCAGAGCTAGAATCTGAGCAAGGCTTCTTTCAGGAGCCACGTGGCCTCCTAACCAGGGTGGGAATAGAGAGTGTCAGAGAAGAGTCGTAAGAGGCAGGAGGCTGAAGCAAGTGTTATGAACAGAGATGGTGACACAAGAAGGACGGGACAGGGGAGATAGGTTTGTCCCCAGAGTCACCTGGGTAGGAAATTGCCAGGTACCTTTGGGTCCACCCATCAGGGCCCTAGACTGGATCCTGTACCAAGACCTGGGACACATGCCCGTTGGACAATCTGACCTGGAAGCTGATGTTGGTCAGCCCCACAGCGCCGGTGACAGAGATAGCATCCACTTGGTGGAATGGCACGCGGTGTATGTACTGCAGAAAGAAGTTTCCATTCACTGACACCTGTCAACAAGAGTACGTGATCCAGGAGTGGGGTCCCAGACCAGGGTGGGGAGCACACCTGAGCCTCCAGGCCCCCGCGCCTAGAAACTAAGACCTGCCTGGTTTTCACCTCTGACCCCTCTAGGACAGGACACCAGCCTCCCGAGCTGCACCAGTTACAGGAACATGCGTGTGATCTGAAGCACATCCCAAACCAACCACCCTCGACACTGGTTGCGGGCTTCTTAGTTCTTATGGTTGTTTGTTTATTGCAGTAGGTTTGTCTTTCCAATCTTAGCTCCCCTGGGGTGTTACTTAAATATGCGCTGTTAAATATGCATAAAATGCTCATGGGGGAGGGGCAGAGTTGGGGGCCCCAGGTTGCACCCTGAGGGGATGGGAACACCCACGTTCCCACAGAGAAGCACAGACACAGGTCCCCAGCCCTCCGTCTCCCCAGCCCAGCAGAACCACTCTGCTTGCAAAAGCAATTTGCAGCTCCGTGCCAAGCTGGGCCATTCAAGGTCCCAGATAAGGGCTGTGCAATGTCATACCCATGACAACTACTCCACACCATGGGAAAAAAAAGTTATCCCAAGGACCTTAGAGAACAATGACTACTGCAAAGGAATGGAATTAACTTATTACCCAAGGCCAAAGAACACGTGGAGACTTATCTAGTTCTTATCTCCTAGTCATTGAAGCAGCAGGTGCCCCTGCAGGTGCAGGTGGAGGTGTGTGAGGTCCTGCTGTCTGTAAATGGTGTTGCTGGGTACTTGTTTCAAGGCTTTTGACCAGGCCTGATAGGGCAGTGGGAGGGAGGGGAGCTCCTGCTCACCTGGAATTCCTTGCTCTGCACCAGGAAGGAGAGCTGGAAGGGGTTCCCCCTCTGGAAAGGCATGTGCATATTCCTCTCCTCTGGCCCCCAGCTTCCTTTCGTTTTCGTGTTACAGACCACATACCCGCCTTCTTCAAACCGGGGATTGAAGTGGAAGGCAATGTTCTGATCACCGAGGCCATTCTGCAAGTTCACAGCAAACCTGGGCCCAGGAAAATCAGAGCGTTCTGGTTCATTGCCCATGGGAGGAATAGAAAAGCCTCTTGTCTCTGACTTTGTGCCTCTGAGAATTTGCATACATCCTACCTGGCAGTTTTGCTCCCATGATTACTTTGTTGCCTTCCTTTCTGTTTACCTAATTTGCACATGGGGTGTTTTGGTGTAATTGTTGCATTATGCCCTTTCCAGTGTGACTTTCAAAAAATAAGTAGAAAACGGTAAAGAAGAATGTTGACACTATGAAAAGGAAGCATAAAACTGATTACTAATTTTAATTGAAGATACAAATCGGGACTATGCCTAGAAGCAAGAGCCTTTCATGAAAAGTGTGCACTTGTTAGAGGGCAGCCCATGCATGTGCATTTGGGAAAGAAGAGAAGAAACTGAGAGAACATGTAAAATTGATGGAATATAGCTCTGGGATTGAGACAGAGTGGCTGCCAAGAGAGTATTATGTGTCCACAAGGGCGTCAGCTGCCAGCCCCCGTGTACGCAGACCCCACCCAAATCGGGCCGGAGCCCACACCTGCCCACCTCCCGGACCTCAGCAGAGGGCAGCCAGGCTGCGAGGGGATCGGAGCGCTCCGCAGCCACAGGCTCTTGCCTGTTCCCCAAAGTCCCCTCTTGGGTGGGAAATGGTGCTGAGATGTTTGTACTTTGAATTGACTTACTAATATCTGGAAAAGAGGTTGAAACAGAAAGTGACCAAAGTACACTTAATGGTAGGTTTAAACATTTCCATATAAGTCAAATGGCTTGAAGTGAAAAGGGTAGTTGTGGGTCACAAAGGAAGTGTTATTTTTTGAACTCTGGGTCTCAGTGTGCAGAGTTCAGTCCTAGGCCATAATCATCAGTCTCTGCGCTGCCTTGGACTGGGAGCCCCTACTATCTCTGGGTCTATGGCGCGTCTTTGTCAATGTGTCCAGACGCTATTAGCAGACGGCAGGGGTCACACACGGTGTGGGCAGGGGCCGGGCCCCCTTGTCCGGCGTCCCCGGAGCCAGGCACAGGCTACTTGGGGAACGTCGGGTGAGCTGGCCTGAGGGGCAGGCGCCACGGTTTGCTGAGGGGCAAGGCAGCTCCAGGTACCTGGTTCCACCGGAGTGAAGAACAATCCCATTGAGAGTGATCTGAAGTCCATCCTGGAGGCCCCCCTGGATGGACCCAGTGAAGGGGACGACCTGCAGGGAGAAAAGCCAGGCCGTAAGAGTGCCAGCCTCCTTCTGGCCGTTGCCCCCGGTCACCTGCTAGTGGCCGGTCTGGTGTGTCAGGCACCGAGCCCGGGGCTGTGTACAGCTGGGAACGGAGGAAATGGCCCCAACCCAGGCAGTTTCACACACAGTCTGAGACGCTCAAGGAAACTTCCAGGCCCTGGGATGATGTGACCGGGAGCTGACCTCCCCTACAAGGAAGTGACAGCTCCCTGGTGGAGGAAGTAGCGTGTTCATGACCCTGAGAGGGGAGGGAACCAGGGCAGCGAGAGGAGCTGCCGGGCCCCAGGCCAAACCACAGGCGCCTCGGTTGAAGACCCAGGAACCCAGGGACCAAAGAGGCCGCCAACCTAGTCTAGAGGGTAACCCTTCGGCTCCCCTGAGGAGGTCCAGAGGAAGGCATCCTCTCACCTCCCGCCCGCCCCACCAGAGGTCAGTGGTGGCCGTGACCTTAGGAAGCTCTTCTTCCTGGATGCCCTCTGCTGCCCGGGGGCAGCCTCCTCCTCCAGTCCTGCCCCTCGGCTCCCTGCTCCCGCCCCGAGGCCCTGGGCAAGGTCTGAAGCCCCAATGTGGTATCTCCACTCCCCCTAGGCCCCGATGGCACCAATTTTGTCAAATTCTCTTTCCCAGGCCACTTGAAAGGGGCAAAGGTTATGGTGAGGAGCACATATTTTACAGCCAGACATAATCCAGGTTTGGATCCTCTTTCTGCAGCTCGTTACCCGAGAGGCCTTGGGAAGCTTAATTAGCTTCTCTTTGCCTCAGTCTCCTTATCTGCAAAATAAGGATACATCTCACCTTGTGTGTAAGATGCATGACTCAGTGAGACAAAGTCCAGGGAAAAGAATGGCACATTGTAGGTGTCTCTACCACAGCCTTCCTCTCAGTCTCTCTGAGCAAAAGTCCCAAACTGGTTACATCTAGACCTTTAACACTAACCTCCAGAATGCCTTTTATCTAATGGGTCTGTAATCTGCATTAACCGAGGAGAGAAATTCCAGCTCCTAGTCAATTTTAATATTTTTTTCTTTTGATTTTTCCCCGTACAGCAGGATATTTTTTCATTGCTTTTTAGAGAGAGAGGAAGGGAGATAGAGAAACATCAACGTGAGAGAGAAGCATCAGTTGGTTTCCTCCCATATGTGCCCTGACTGGGAATCAAACCTGCAACCTCTCGGTCACAGGAAGACTCTCCAGCTAACTGAGCCACTGCTGCCAAGGCCCACGCTTTGAACCACCCCACAGGCTGCTTCTCACGAGCAAGCACAGAACACCCTCGCTCCTGGCTCGCCGAGCGCGTCCCGGAGCAGACAGCGTGTCCTGTCCTGCTTGTGCTTCCAGCCTCCATCCTGGCCCCTGAGGCTTGTGGGGGGCAGGGAATGGGGGGTGAGGCCCCCAAGACAGACCCTCATCGTGCTGAGCTCCTCAGCAGAGCAGCCAGGCTGCCTGCCCGCCCGGTGCACTTGGGAGGGAGGGGGTGGCTCTTGACTGCCAGGAGCCACCGGCCGCCACCGGGAGGGGTGAGCCTGCGGGGCGGGCCGTGCTCCTGTTGGGGCGACACCCATCCTCATTCTGTCTGCACTCCAAGGCCCTGTTTGAACCGCTCATGCAGGATTTTCCTTCTGATTCGAAAAGTTTGGCTTTTCAAGCCAGGCATTGGAAAGAACAAACCGGTCGCCAGGATAAGAAAATGTCAGGGCCCCGAAGGAGCTCTGGGCTCCCCCGTCTGACAGGGAAGAAGCCCAAGGTGGCAGGCGCTGACCCTGAAGCCCCCGGAGCAGCCCCCGGGCCCGGCTCAGCCTTCTCCAGCCCCACCATGAGCCCCTCTTCCCGGTGAGCCCGGCCCGGCGACTGCTGCAGGGAGCGGGCCAGGCAGGGCCTGCTGGGGTGGGCTCGAACCGCGAAGCCCTGGCGGCTCCCCACCCTCCCCGCCACGCCCCCAGCCCCTGCTGCTGCCCACCCACCTAGCCCGTGCCCCCACCCAGAGAGGGCTCTGCCGTCCGCTCCCCCCTCCGCTCAGGAAACTGCTGGCCAGGCCTGGCAGCGGCTCCTATTGACACTATGGGGCCGGGACCGGGACACAGCGACCACGCAGGCGTCCTGGGCCTGGGGCTGCCGCATGCCTGCCGTCCCCCATCACTGCTCTCTCTGTGGCACCTCCCTCTTCTGGGGGTAAATCAAGGCCCCTCCCTTCTCTGCCACTTCCCATCTGGGGACATTTGGCAAGTGGCTTCCATGCCTCTGAGCCTCAGTTTTTCCATGTATGACGTGGGGATAATAAAGCTCAGAGGGTTTAAACAAAGCCATCAAGGACAGGACCAGCACCCTCTGGGTGCTGAGTCAGCATTTGTCCAATGCATGGATCCGGATTGCCCCACCTGGCATTTCTGCTCTTCTGTGTTCTCTTTGGGATCCCCTTCACCCCGCCTCCCAAATGTGGTTTCCTCAGAGACCCAGAGCTGCTTCCCTGGAGAGGCAGAAGCTCAGCCGTGCAGCACCGCCCATGCCCGCAGCCTGGACACTCACTGGGTTCAGGAAGGGAGGCTGGATGTTGCTGAAGTTCATCTCTCCACCACCTGTGCGGTTACTGCTGGTCCTCTCACTTGCAAGGCGTTCTCTGCACTGGGGAGGAGTCAGTAAAGAAATAGAAACCAAAGCAATTTGGCTGTTATTCAGTTGGGGCGGAGTAATGTGCCCTGCTCTGTTATTCAGGAGCAAGAGGAAAGGAGTCTGGAGAAAGAGAAAGGAAACCTTCTGGGGAAGTGGGGTGAGCAGGGACTCAGGGACAGGAAAGTAAATACTCCCACCTCTGAGACCTTTCCTTCCTGTCTTCCTGTGCTCCACCAGGAGAACGAATGACTCAGGGTTCACAAGCAGGTTCAAAGAGCCTGGCCACCCTGACATGACAGTGAGTTTCTAGGTGCTGCTGCCCATTAGTGTGTGGTGGTATCTCCTGCCCACGCTCCGTCACGGTGACCAGAAAACAGTGGGCGGCTAGACAGGGCCACACTGGTCGGGGTTGGGGGCGGGGGGCTGGTTATACCCATTTACACACGGAAACAGGATGAGAAGCTAGGGACGTGCCCCTGGTCACAGAGCTCAATGGTGGCAGCCTGACCTCAATGAGGATACTTAGGTTCTCAAAAAGCTATCTCTCTCTTTTAAAATTCTAGGTTCTCACATAAAAACATCATCATATAGAAAGAAGTGTTTTACCAATAGAAAACCTCATAATGGAGGTTATGCTACCCCTGGTTATAGTTGTACCCGGGAAGCTTCTCCGTCCCCTCTCTGGGAATTTATCTCTTCCGTCTTTCCTCCTTCTCTTTTCCTCTCTCCTTTTTGTAAATAAGTTTTTATTTAGGTTTTTTTAAAAAAATTTTGTTTTGATTTTTTAGAAAGAGTGGGAAAGAGAGAAAGAGAGGGAGAGAAACATCAACGTGTGGTTGCCTCCAGCCTGCCTCCAGCTGGGGACCCAACCCGCAAGCCAGGCATGTGTCCCGACTACAAATTGAACCGGTGACCCTTCGGTTCACAGACTCGCACTCAATCCACTGAGGCACATAAGCCAGCACTCTCCCTTTATTTTTTAATGGCCTCACATTTATAATGAACCAACCTACTATTACCAGAAATAATCAACAGAGAAAAATCATTTTTTCAATAATTTCCCAATGAAAAGCCTAGCTATTCGATAGCAGTGACCTTTTCAGTGATTTAAAGAGACAGATGAGTTGGATAGAACATAAATATGTGAGTCATCTCTTACGAGCCCTTCCTTATAAACCCAGTTTGGTTCTTCTCCAATGTCATGTGTAATTTCTTATAGACCCAGTTGGGTGCTTCTCCAATGTCTCCTCTTGGAATGGTATTTGACTTTATTACCAGTTTTCATCCTAATCCATCTGGTAATGGGCCAGTTCAGCTTTTGTTTTTTGACCAGGAACCTCTTGGTCCTGAGAGTCTCGTGAGAAGACATGGTGAAGAAGAACCAACTGCACAGACCACAATGGCAGAGAAAGAGAGACTCCTCTCTCCCTTCTCTTTCTGGGCTTTAGATGAGGGAGACGAGAAGTCATAGACACAGTGGAACGTTCCAAGTGACATGGAAGTCAGGTGACATATTAAAAATAACTGCCTTTAAATGGCTTCAGCAGCTAGTTAAGGAAAATGGTTGAACAGAGACTAGCAGGATTGGGGAGGAGAGGAGAGGAGCGGTGACAATAAACTTACGTGAAGTCAAGGAGGTCCCTGCAATGTGCTAAACAGAAAACCAAGGCTGGTGAAGCCTGAAGGAGCAAATAGGGGTCATATAGGCGCTAAGTGGGTAGAAGGTACCCCAGGGTCATACATATGTCTGTTCCTCTCTTCTTTCTTGAACCTTGTCTAAGTGCACGAGAATTTGCAAAGACTGGCTCCTTGGAGATGCTCTGACATCACCTCGGTCCAAACTCAGCCCCCAGTATATTCCTGAATCAACTAGAATTTAACCAATGTAACAGCAGCAGTGTTGGAACAGAAAGGAGGGAAAGGAAGAAAAATTCTTTGCAGTCCTCTCTGACACCAGCGACACCAGAGACAACTTCATCATTGACCAGGATATGGAACGAGTAGAACTCTCATTCCTTGCAGGTTGGAGTGTAGAATAACACAACTTTGGAAAACAACTCAAGAAAGGTGAAAACATACGTGTATGTTCACAACAGCATTACTCGCCATAGCTCCAAAGTGGCAACAACACAAATGTGCACCAAAAGGAAGAAGAGGAAACCATTTATGGTGTTCATACGATGGAATGGCCCCAGCAACGGAAAGGAACTGTGACACGAGAAACATCAGTGAGCCTCAGAGTTGAACGATGAGCATGGGAAGGCACGAAGGCACCCTCTGGGTGCTGGAAATGCTCTGGAACTTGACCTGGATGGCAGTCACGCAACTGTCTTGCCTATGTAAAGCCTCAGCCAGCAACCAGGGTCTGTGCAATTTACGCTACGTAAACACTATCTCAATAATGTACTGTTGAAAATCCCCAAAACTCCCGGAGCTCAGAGTGCTCCAGGGAGACACAGGGACAGCTAGAGTTATGGCAAACAGGCACAGGCACCACCAGGTGCTTTCCAGATGAGTCACAGGGGACCCAACCCAAAAAGGAGAGCCCCAGGGCCCTCTGCCGCAGCGCTGCAGGGCAGGGCGTTCTCAGCCTATCGGAGACACTGGGGGGCCCTCCTCCAGGTGCAGCACCAGGGCACGGCTGACCTCAGCAGTTGGCATCATCACCGTGCCGTCACGATGACTCGTTCCCAGCCCTCGGCTGCAATCTCAGGGTGGAAAGGGGCAGCCCTCAGCAAAGTTCTTGCTCAGAGCTCTGTTATTCAAACCCCAGACACTGATCGGAGGTTCTTGGTTCTCTGCATTGCAGAGCCAAAGAGCTCTTCAAAATGCGCGTCTGCCACTTCACACCCTTTAGGACAGCCATTATTGAAAAACCAGAAAATGAGAGGTGTTGGCGAGCATGTGAGGAAGAACCCTGTGCATCGTTAGTGGGCTGGTAAAATGGGGGGCAGGGCTGCGGTGAGAAATGTTGTGCAATGGAGCCCTGGGCTGAGGCCAGACTTCTTGCTTTGGTTTGGGAGGGCTCACTCCTCAACAGGCTGTTTAGTGTTTAGATTTGCATTCCAGCCCTCGGAAAGGAGCCTGGGGTCTCGGGTGAGAAAGGAAAGGGGGAACAGAACAGGCTCCTTCCTTCTCCGTTGTGCCACAGACTCTTTACGTGGTTCTCAAGAACCCCTCTGACCCAGGTCCCCTCCCGTGGTCCCACCTTCTCGAGCCTGCCCTGTGCAGGTGCTCTGCGTGCCCACCTCTCTCCATTCCTCTCCCTTTCCCCTTTCCTCCCGTGGGCACGCTATTTCTTCCCTTCTCCCTGTCCCTTTGGCCCAGACCCAGACTGGCTGATGATGACCATTCCATAGGCTCAGCTCTTGAAATGGAATGAGTGTCTTCACTTCAGCTGCAGCTCGGTCTTTGGTGCTTCCAGGGTCCTGGGTCCTGTCAGCAAGCAAAGGAGAACTGGGCCTGACGGAATGAGACAGAACTAACTGACCCACAGAGGTGGATCCAAGTCGTCCTTGAGGACGTAGATTATTCCCCTGGATAGGCGCCTAAAGGAGTTTGGAATGCGGCAGAAGGACAATGAGAAGTCGCCTAAAGGATGTCAATGTTGTCTCCCATTGCATGCGTTGTTCTTTCCAAAGTCACACTTTGCAGAAGGTCAACATTTATAGTCACTGTATAACATATATGTAACATGAGGGGGCCATGCTGGTGTGGGTCCCTCCCCCTCACAACTTTGGCCCTTTTACATGGATCAGAACCCTGGTTACGGGACCTCAGAGGACATGGGGGGAGGGCAGGGAAGATGCCTGTGGTTTTTGGCACAGTTGATTTCACTGTGCTTTTGAATTCTGTCTGAACACAAAGCCTGTGCGGTCCCAGCCGGACACAGGGAGTGCAAGTGGGGGATGTCGCTGTACCGAAACTCATTAGTTAACGTTGTCTGAATATTGCTGACAATTCTGTAAAGTTCCGCTTTATGAATATTTCCGTTCAAGTTATTTCATCTTTGTTTTGAAGTCCTTCCCTTTTAAGGTGCAAATGTGACACTTGTGAAAAAGCTTGTAAGATACTCTTTCCTTCGCCACCCTTTGCTTCCCCTTTAAATGACAAATGTGGTAATGAAGGTAGTAAATTTGTATTTTTGCTTTGTTTTAATGAACCTGTCTCCCAGAATAGCATTGTGTGATGGTGTTTAAATGGCAAAAAACAAACACACGGCACGACTTTGTGCAATTAATAAAAGGCTACCGCCAGCAGGGTAGAACAGTTCTTGGTCACACACACAGAGAAAGAAATGAGAAGAATGCAGTGTAAGTGTCTGATGCTAGCTTTTCTTATTGTAATGCGGGTGGCTGACATTAAAGCATCCATTTCAAAGATATCTTTCTCAAATCAGCATGTGTCCTGCCATGTAACAGTTTCTCACTGAACAGTTAGATAAGCACCCAGTGTTCTCCCATCCTTTAAGTTCCCCTCTAGAAAGCCTTGGGTAACCTAGATAACTGGCCACATGGGTGACCCCGCTTTCCCCTTCCTGCACCCTAATTCTCACCTGGGCACCACTCCATTGGATCCCAATAAAAGCAGAGCTCCAGGTGCCTGACCTCTCTCTCTCCCTGTAAACTTCCTGTGTAGCTGGCAGGACTTGTCAGTATTAAATCTTGTGTTTTCAAAGTTCCTTGATGATTGTTGCTGAGGTGCATCTTGCTATTCTGAAAAGAACCACAAGGGCTGGTTCAGTTACAACATTGTCTCTGGTTGGAGAAATGTCTTTGGGGCCTCACCGCAGGTAGGATGTGCCATGTGAGTGTCCCGGGCCATTTCTCGTGGGTTGCAGGAGGGTGAGATCCATGCACCCACACGGCACGATCGTTCCTTAAAAACTAAGCATAGAGTCCTGGCTGGTGTGGCTCAGTGGATTGAGTGCTGGACCGCAAAGCAAAGGGTTGCTGGTTCGATTCCCAGTCAGGGCACATGCCTCAGTTGCAAGCCAGGAACAGACCCATAGGTCAGTGAAATAGAATAAAAAGCCCAGAAATAAACCCATGTCTCTATGGTCCAGTAATATTTGACAAACGATGCAGAAGCATAAACTGGAGTAAAAACAGCCTCTTCAACAAATGGTGTTGGGAGAGCTGGACGGCTACATGCAAAAAAATTAAAATTTGATCGCCAACTGACACCACATACAAAAATAAACTCAAGACGGATAAAAGACTTAAATATAAGTTGCTATACCATAAAAGTCCTAGAGGAGAACATAGACAGGAAACTTTCAGATATCACACACAGCGATATTTTCACTGATATGTCCCCTAAAGCAAGGGACATAATGGAAAGAATAAACAAGTGGGACCTCATCAAAATAATAAGCTTCCTCATGACTAAAGAAAACACCAGCAAAATGCAAAGGGAACCAACTGTATGGGAAAATATATTTGCCAATGATACATCAGATTGGGTTTTGATCTCCAAAATATTTAAAGAACTCATATGAATCCACTCCAAGAAAACAAACAACCCAATTAAAAAATGGGCAAAGGACCTGGACAGACACTTCTCCAGGGAAGAGATACACAGGGCCCAGAGACGTATGAAAGGATGCTCAGCATCACTAGCCATCAGAGAAATGCAAATTAAAAGGACAATGAGATACCACTTCACGCTGGTCAGAATGGCCATCATAAACAGATCAAGAAACAACGGGTGTTGGCGAGGCTGTGGAGAAAAGGGAACCCTAGTACACTGTTGGTGGGAAAGCAGACTGGTGCAGCCACTGTGGAAAACAGCTTGGAATTTCCTCAAAAAGCTAAAAATGGAACTGCCTTTTGACCCAGCGATTCCACTGCTGGGATTATACCCTAAGACTCCCAAAACACTAATTCAAAAGAACCTATGCACCCCAATGTTCATAGCAGCACAATTTACAAGAGCCAAGTGTTGGAAGCAGCCTAAGTGCCCATCAGTAAATGAGTGGATCAAAAAACTATGGTACATTTACGCAATGGAATACTACGCAGCAGAAAGAAAGAAAAAGCTACTACTCTTCGCGACAGCATGGATGAAACTAGAGAGCATTATGCTAGGTGAAACAAGCCAGGGGGCGAAAGACAAATACCACATGATCTCACCTATAAGTGGAACCTAACCAACAAAACAAACAAGCAAGGAAAATATAACCAGCACCATTGAAAGAAAAAAGAAACCAACAATATCAAGAGGGAAAAGGTGGGGTGGGGAAAGGGAAGGGAAGGGTCAAGAAACATGTATAAAGGACCCATGGACAAAGCCAAAGTGGGAAGGATTGAGGGAGGGAGGTGGGGCGGGGGGCCGGGGAAAGTGGTGGTGGGAAGGTGGAGACAAATG